CAAAATTTAGTGCTACTGAATATTTTATCTGATCAGCAGTGCGCTGCACAAGTAAAGCACGACATTGCGCTGCTCTGAAGCTTCAGATGTTAGCTCGTAACATCACAGCAGCATATCCCAACTAATAATGGGATACAGAGAAGCCTGTCTTATCATCTGTCCAAAAGCAGCTGCTTTGCCAAGATTTTTGGTACCTAAAGATTGAACGCTGTTGTCCTGGAAATAGTGTAGTTATTTTACAGTAGTCACATAAAACCAGCAGCTGCAACTACAGGTGGGGTCCAGCGCAGCTTTTGCAGGATATAAAATTTATATAGATTCCCACAAAATTAGGCCAGCAACACAGAGGGGCCAACAAAAACCTTCTGCTTGCGATCCATCTGCATTGCAGTCCTTTTGCATCTGTTCTCTCCCTGCCTGTCTTTCCCAGAGCTGTCATCCACCCCAGCCCATCTTGCAGTGACTTGCCTTCTCTTCTGCACTTTGCTGTTCTTACCGCTGCCATGTACAACTAGGGCATGGTCAGGTCCCAGCTGCAAGGTGGAGAGCTCTGTTATTCCACCACAAACCCAGTAGCTGCAACACCAGGTTGAAAGTTAGGAGACTCAAACAGGCAAACTCCCAGGGAAGCTCCACAGCAATTACAAAAACAATTCAGGCAATATGTTGAAAGCACACATGCACAAGAGAGGAAAACAGGCAGTTCCTGGAGGAAAATGATCAACTGAGTAGTTAAACAATTTCATGGCAAAAGAACCCCATTACCTTTATCCTCCAAAAGAGGCTTTACCTTTAAATCAGCCCTTCACTAACAGGAAAAGGAAATCAAAGTCCAATTCCATCTTGCATTTGACTTCTTTATTTTGTGTGCCTGCTCTGCAAAGCATTACACTATTGCTGTCATTTGTCAGCATTCTTGTTTCCAGAGCTTCTCCTGCTTTTCCCAAAAACCAGCTCCTGCCTTTGCACAGTTGCAGTGGGAAGGCCATCCCTGCTGAGCAGCAAAACAGTTGTCCCCAAGGGGCAGGACACTGGCTTGCTGCTCTTGAGGCTCAGGCAGAGCACAAGCAAATAAGCAGCGCTTGGCCTCGGCTGCATCCACCCGGGCAGGGTTGGTTTACATCTTCCGGGAGTCTGAAAATGGGACTTCTGGAGAAAAAAGGGCAGAAAGACCAAAGTTTCAGCCAAGCTAGTTAGCTTAGTGCCAGCACTTCTGGAAGCAATCGCAGAGCTAACTGCAAGCCCAGGACCAGCCACGCTGTGCGACACTCTTCTGACTGCAAGATGAGGGGTTGCAGATACTGGGACAAAAAACAGGACTTGAGGAATGAAGTATAGCACATTGCTGATTTTCTTAAGCAAAGCTTGATTACGAGAAGATTGGGACCCAGCACAGTAAAAGGCAGCAGGCTGACCTGCGGCAGCAGGTGTCATAGACACATATGCAATGAAGCCTCAGATAACTGACATCAAAGAACAACCACTAGATTGATGACAAGTGTCTCGAAAGGCTCGTATATGAAGAAGAGTGGGACAAAGCAATAATTAACTGGGAGAGTGCCATAAAATTATTTCCACTTATAGCACAGACTTTTTTTAAGTGAACTAAATAAACACTGAGTGTTAGTATTCAAAGAGATACCAGGAATTTGTTACTTTTAGATCATTAAAAACTGAATATTATGTGCATTATGCATATATTACAGTCCTTTGCAGGACAATAAAAAATAGTTTCCATTCCCTGCTTTGTCTTCATGCAAAGGAAAAAGAAAAGGAAAGATATTCAAGAAAAAAACCTGAACAGCGCATGTAAAAAAAAAGCTTACAAGACATAAACATAAAATATGTAAGACATCTGAGAATGCATTTGCTGTCAAATTCACATTCCAGGCAAAGGATACTAAATTAGATGTTCTGCCAAAATCCTCATGGATTCAAGTAAGTGATGAGGTATATGAAATTTGCTACAAGATAAGCTTCCACATTGCTATTCTAAGCAATCTGACTGGCACCAAGAATATCAAATCTCAGTACCCGTTTTAAAAACTTAAATATGCGTGGAAGTGTTGGCTTTCATTATGTTATCATAAACATCTTTACATCTTGCATTTAAAGCAGTCATTTATACAAGACTTTTAAAGTATATTAGTACATTCAATCTTGCTTAGTTAAATTGGTAGAGAGGAAAAGCTGGCAGACAGGATATCATGCAGCTTGGCAAAAGTGCATTTGTTTTCCAGTTCTTATAGTAAAGAGACTGATCAATCTTTCCAGTACTGAAGTTAGTAATGAATACTTTTTTTTCCAGTTACTGAGTTTCTGATCACCTTTACTTACTCCACGGATATGCTCCCCCCTTTAATTATGCAGGTTTTAATTACTGGCCTAGCCACTTTTACATTGTAGACAGCTCAGTCTCCCCATTACCTCATTTGTCATTTAAAACATAAATTCCTCAAAGCATCAAATAGGAAACTATGCCATAAGTCTGCATGGGGCTATCTATTATTATTCATTCATCACATGTAGTCTCACCCCACACACACTTAGTTTTTGGTCATAGCACACCTTAACTCTGCAAAACTATTTGGAATCGATTCTAGTGTAACCTCTCTTCAGCCTTACCCCTGCAGTTTTCATCCAAGCCACTTCCCATGGCCTGGATTTTCTGCTCCCCACCTTGTATTAAGGCCAAGATCTTACAAGGAGAGCCTCAGGGACAGGACTCTGAAACACAGAGACGGCTCCACAGAAGTTTCTCTCTCCAGCACCCAATTGTCTCCCACTATTTGTCTGCACATTTCTCCCATTCCCTCCCTTCTCACACTATGAGAGTAATGACTATGGCTCCCTTCGGTTCTTCATCAACCTAAATATTCAGAAATTCTTACCCACAAGTTGGATGGCTCCTGTGCTGCTTCCTCAAGGTCCTCTGAAGAAAACTGCAGCAAATGACCCCAGGGCTGGTAAGGGGCAAAGCAAGTCTCACCTCCTCCTGCACAGAAACATCCCCTAGCACTCATTCCCTGTTCCCAGAGACACCACTTGCCAGAAACAGTGGCAGGGACATGAAGTGAACCACCAGGTCTGCTGAAGTCGCTTCCTTTTCCTCTCCCCATAAAAAACACTGCGAACAGCCTCCAGCCATTTCAGCAACTGGTAAAAGCTGCTGGTCTGCTCCAAAGGGTGGCAGATTTCTCTTACCTCTTCCAACATGTCCCCTGCAACTCAGAAATGAGCAAGAAGGTGTCTGTACCACACACGGTCTCTTCCCCCAGTCTCCTCTCCCCTTTCCCACAGGTAGCTAGTATGACAGGGAAATACTGTAGAGGCAGAGAATTTGTACAACACTTTATTACACTGCCGACAACTGGGAATTAGTTCTGGTGACAGCCTCTTTTCTGTTACTCAGGCTGAGGAAGTCAGTAGTACAATGTTATTACAAGGTCACTGTCCCACAGAGGAAAGCACACAGACTCTCTGAATACTGTCATTTGCAACTTTGTCCTGTTAAAAGGGCAATTCAAGCTGCAAAGTGTAACGCTGTTACAACCAGTGCCCTCCAGTTGCTGGTGTATTTGCAACTCCTGTTATTTTCCAATGCCAAGGAGCAGACTCTAAACTTTTGAGAGTGATACTGCAGTCAGACTAAGACTTCAGGTGAAAGGCAGTAGCACAGATATTCACAACAGACTATCATATAATTATAGCAAAGCATGGAAGGCTCTATTTGGCACAAAGTGGAAAGTCAGAGCTTACATTTCAAGAACAGAACATGCTTATGTGATTGTAAAGAAATCAGTACTTGCAGCAAGAGGCAAGACAAGTTACCATAACCTTTTGTGGGAGAGAAAGGGAACCAGTAAAAGCCACATCTGCAATGGTATCTTTTATACTTCAGTCTTAACAGAAACCAACATCCCGACTTAAACTCCCTTTAAAAATAAACCTGATGATGTTATACCTTACACAGTGTCAACTCAGGATCTAACTCTACCACACTTAAAATACATCATACAGCAGACCAATATCAGTCCTCCTGAATTCCCATGAAAGTGCTTGCACAACTGCATAGCTAACAGTCAGAAGAATCATGCAATGTAAGGCTACAGGTACAGCCAAGTTGACCCTTTTATTGTATTTGGAAATACCGATTTCCAGAATAAAGCACTTTCAGTGCAACTAGCAAACATATTTTTTCCAAACCTGCAGCCTAGAAGTGGTGAAAGAGACATTTTAGAATGAGGTAAACATACTGCATAGGCTATAAATTTAACTCCAAATTCCAAAAGTTATTTGGCTTAATTGTGAAATTATTTAAAACTGAACAGAAAGAAAAAGCTACATACTTATAAAAATCTGAAAACAAATCCAGGTTGACCCTAACAGCAAATTAGAAAATAACTCATTTATAAGAGCATTGTCTACTGCCTTCCCCCCATTCCCAAGTTATCCAAACAAAAGCACAATTTGAAAAAAGCTTTGCTGCTTTTTCTATGGAGCTGTTCCTTCTAGAATACTTGCTCAACCCCAGCTTGTTTCCGTCTGTTAATCTGAGCCAAGACTGGTACTGGACACACAATGTCACAACACTCCAGTGAATACTGGCCTTCCAGACCATGCTGCAGCTTTTCTTGCCGCATCCTGCATTCTGGAGCAATGACAAAGCTGTATGACACAGGGTGTTCAGAGTAAAGACTTGTGCTTAACAGAGACCTCAATTACAATTTTAAACCATTTGAAAACTAAGTTATAATTAACAATAGTGCCTTTTGCGATTCTCATATTTTTATTTAAAATATGTCCTTGCAGGTTTGCTTTTTCAATATTCCCTTGTATCAGTGTTTAATTCCCAGAAATCATTCCTGTCAGGCAACGCAGTTTTCTGAAAAGATAGTATCTTCCATCCTCACCACATTTTCAATAAACTCTGTAGAAGACAGTCAATGATCAGACTAAGATAAAGTGCACATATTCCTTTTCTGATACAGGCAACAAAGTTGTTGACTGAAAAAATAAATCATACTGAAAATTGAAAACCACACAAAAAAAATCCTACTGTGGCCATTCAGCACCCCACAATTAGGTTGTCCCACTGAGTACTGCCCAAAAATACTTTTCTTCAAGTGTCTGTTAGCTTAAAAAAAAAAAGGAACTTATAACATTAAAAATAATGGTTCCTTTTTAATTAGACTCTGAGAATCATGAATTTATGTAATCCTTGAAAGCTACAACTCCCCCAAGGCTGGCATACTGCCTTGACAACTTGTAAGTAGTTTGTATTTTACCCTTTGGATCCAGGCTTCAAGCTCGCAAAAGCTTTGGAGTTCTTAAGGGAATGTGAAATTTCATTGAGAAAAGAAATAAAATGGTAGTCCCTTTCTGACTTCTTGGACTCAAAAATAACAACAATGGTAAAGTGAGGTTCGGGGCGAGTCAGAAAGTACGTGCTTTGGACTTTGTCATCGTAGAAGTGAACAACCTTCTCCAAACTGTTGAGGTCAGAGGTTCTATCGGTCATAATCATGATTACATTGGGCCAGTGCATAACAGGCCTGTCGCTGGGCAGAGACACCACTGCAGGGTACTGATCCACGCCTTTGGGGGCTTCCCTGTAAGAATGGGGATGATGATAACCATGTCCCTGAAAACTCTCCGATCCACGATTGTCAAAAATTAAGGAAACATTGATGGCATCATACTTCCGGATGAAGCTGGAAATTTTCCCAAAGTAATCAGGATTTGTTTTAGCAGTCAAAGTTTTCATTTCAGATGCTGTTGTTTGTCGACTGAGGGCCTCGTGAAAGTAAAAGCTAAACTTGGCAAGTAGAATGTTTTTGAGCTTCATCAGCCACAGAAAGAGGTGTGGAGGTTGTACAGCCTTCTGAGACTGCCCTCCAAACAGATGTTTCTTGGTCTCTCGCTGCTTCTCAAAAATTTGGCCCCAAGTCTGTAGTTTTGTGTGAGCACTGTGCAAGTTGACCAGGGATGGAAGGAACTTCCACTCTGAGATCTGAGCCTGAGCCTTTAAGAGATGTGCAAGCACATCTACTTCCAGCTGGAAACTGCTTTCAAGAGGACTGAGGATTGGATGATGAAATCTAGAAAACATAACATTAGTCACGACATGAGAACTCTTGTACGCAACAGTGAAATAATCAGTTAGTATTTCTCAGTTCACAGACAGAAGATGAAACATCAAAGAGTAAAATGCAAACCAAAAATAATCTTGTTAATTTAAAAAACAGTTCTTTTAACATGATTGGGGCAAGTATTTTAATCAACATACAGCACTTTGCATTCGACAGTAACACCTGTCAGACATTTCTCTATCAAAGCAAGGGAGTTCTATTTAATCAGCTCAAGAGCAATCACTGTTTATCTTGATCCATGAACTACTATAACACCATTTCTCTTTAAATTCAGATGGTTTTGTTCCAGTTTAAAATCCCCTCTGGTGGTAAAATATACCTTAATATTTCTGGAATAGCAGTAAGACATTAAGTTAAATCAAAGGGATTGTGTTATAAATTTGCTGTTTCTATAGGGAAGCTATAAGGAAGCCAAGCTGAGCTTTTCTTGTTTTGTTTTTGTGTTGTGGGGGTTTTTTTTGAAATTCACAATAAAATTGTAATGCAAAATTAGTCAATAGAACCATGATTAACTGTATCTACCAATGAACCAGGTCTCAAACTTCAAACCTTGGTGTACTAAAAGCAATGAAGAAAGAAAATTTGGCAGGATTTCATCATATCACAATGAAGATGCTGTAACAACCAATTTCTCTCGCTAAAAATTCAGGTCAAGATCAGTTCTCAATTTAACAGATGTTTCAAAAACAAACAAACAAAAACCAACACCTTGTCTGCCAGGTAGGAGTGCCACTGCACATCTTATTCACAAGAGTGATCCTACTATTAGGACAAATCTTGATGAAATAGAATTTTATAGGTCCATTCTATAGCTTTCTCTTCTCTATTTTTTCTAAACATCAGGAAAAAAAAGACAGATACAGCCTACCTGCCTTCTACAATACTCAAATTACTTGTAAATTTATAACATCATCAATAAATACATACTTAATTCAAACTGTGCAAAACTCTTCCAGTTACAGAAGCTAAATACTTAACTTTAGAAAGAGTGAATCTCCAGCAAAGACAGAAGTGGCCTTTTTAGTAAATGTGTTCCCCAATAGGCATTTAGGACTCTAAGAGGTCTCCAACAAAGAACAACAAATAGTTCAAAGACAAGACTTGATGAGGCTTCCATTTAAGCAAAGATAGATTTATCCCCCCACTTCAGAAAAAAATATCCTGTGTCTTGTTATTGCTTTAAAACAAAGTAGTTTATACTGAATTCTTCCAACCTTTAACAGCTCATCTTCAAAGAGAAATCGACTCCATTATTCCCCTCAGCTTCCAGGACACAATACATATAATCCATTTTAGAAATACTTGGTTCAAAACCGAAATATTTAATTTTGTTGTGGACCAGAAGGGAGAACGAGAATTTTAGGCTTTTTAACCCCTCTCCCTTCACTATTTTTTCTTTGACTTTCCATCAAACTCTTGCCAAAACATTAATTCTTAGGCTTATCAAGACTGTCTGACAATTTCATCACTAATTTTAAGCATCTCTTTTTTTGACAGCCGCAATACATGTCTTGAAAGGATTTGCTATTAAGATGCAAGTCCAAGTTTATTCGAAGAAAGTAAAATGATGCATATCATAAATCAGTTGATGCACCACGTTCTGCAAAAGAGGCTAGGTTGCACTTCTGTACACAGTACATGTCAGCAACCATCATATCTACCTGCTATAGCAGAGACACAGTGATTACTGGCTGCTTTGGTGGGCTGAGAATCCAGAGCATATTTACATTTCTTTGAACAAGAGTCAAGTAACAATAATATTCTGCTAACAGTCAACATTATGTATTTCCAATGGTTTTGGTATTCAGCGGAAAAACAGTTTTGTTGCCATGTATTAGAAAGGGGGGGAAAAAAGCATTATACAAAATTATTTGTCCGAGATAGTCCCATCAAGTGCATACTTCGCACAGTTTCAACACACTTACAGTCAGACCAAGAAGGTTATTCAATCTTAAAAGCAATTAAAAAATTCGTACTAATGCAGCACTGCCAAGTCTCCTGGTTTAACGCTATGATGCGTAGCTTCCCACTTCTACTTTGCTTCATGGCTCATAGCTATTTTCATGTTTCACTGCACAGCAGGATTTGCTAAACTGTTTTAATCCAAAAATACACACCTCAGCCACAGCTGAGAAGCTTGATATGACTGCAGAGTAAACTAGCAGGTTATGTACTCGGTGTATCTGCTGTAACTAAGTTCCGTAACATAGAAGCATCTGACTGAGCTCAGTATCACATAAAACAGACAGGTTTTTACAATATTTCAGTAAGCCAGAGTGTTAAGAACTTAAAAACACATTGGAAAAATGATCTTTTTTTCCCCCCAATAATTCTCAACAGCAGAGGGGTGCTAGAGTTTTGTTTTGCAGACTCTGAAGAGGCCTCATTTTTCTACAACATTTTTATTTCCCTCCATAGATCACACATACTTACATGTATTTACAAAATGCTGACTAGATGAAAAACATTTAACACTTAAAAATAATTACATCAAAATAGGTTTACTAGTTACTTATTCATTTTATACTAAGCTTTTAAAGGATCCTGCTTTTGATGCTGTTTTCAATATTTCAGTTAAGATCTCACCCAAACCAACAGTTAAAAAATTCAGGGAAAGTTACTTCTCCAGCTGTAATCTATAGAAAAACAGAGAGGGAAATGTCTAGTGTTGGCTGTGTACAAGTCAGCAATAAGTAGTAATAAAATAACTTTAAACTGTTCAAGAGTTAATGATTTTTCAGATACAGACAATATGACCTGACTGTTGACAGTCAATTAGTTCTGTCATTCCTTAAACAGCAAGCAGTTATTTGCTCTACTTTATGTGAACAGCTATTTTTGGATGTAAAGGAAAGAAACCAAGGCCAGAACCTATCTACAGAACAGATGCCCTATCTGGCCTTAGCACGTTGGGCTGAGATAATGGCACACATCCTCAACTACAAATGAGGAATACATTGACAGAGGGAAGAGACTGGGTAAGGATGAGTTTAATTGACCTTTCACCTGAGAGGGTCAACAGACTGTAAACCAGAAATGCCATCCAGTCAGCACACACCAACATAACAGCCCCCAGAAACTGATCTGAGATATGAAGAAACTAAAGGAAGGACTAGAGGAAGATATCATTATCCCCACTTTTTTCAGAAATATTCTGTACACAACTGGGGAAGACCACACAGCAGCTACTGAATTAGGTCTAACAGCATCCTAGAATGTCTCCATCTTAGAGATTGCTCATTAACCCAAAGCAAGATCAACAGTATTTTTCCCAGGGAGATGCTGCTTATTTTTTTTAAGGAGGTTATAACAATGCCTTAGAAGTACAGACGTGTCACTGAAATTTATTTAAATAGAGTCGTAAAACATTTAATATATAACAGTCTCCAGTCACTGTGTCAAAGTATCAGTTTTGGTTTTCAGATTTTTTAGCAGCATTGACTCAGTACATGCTCAGAAAAGACGGTGATGGTTAGCGTACAACATAAGCTTCTCAAAAAAACCCCCAACAACTTACTTCCCTTTATTCTTTAATGTTTATCGCACCAAAGAATAAATATGTAAGTTTCATTTTTCATTGGTCTAACAGTCCTGATATTGTAAGGGCTCACAAACCAAGAACTGCAAAACAATCACTAGTAAAATCATATAGACTCGTTTTGATTTTCAAACAGCAAAATTACATAGCAATTTACCTGTTATTCCTAAAAAAATAAGGGAGTTAGCTGCAGTGCTTAGATTTGGAATGTCAGAAAGCAGCACTGAATTAGTCTGATTTTTCCTAGGTATATACTTTAAAAATTATAACTGAAAAAAAGACCTCACAATATTCTCCCCAAAATGTCCTCTCAGACAGTATTTCACTAACAAAGATTTTAAAAAATTCAGCTACATTTGACAGTTATCTTCCTACAATGGCTACCTTGTTTTGCTTTAAAATGAAGAGCTAGAATTTGAATCTGTTGACAGGCATTCAAAAATTCTGTCTTTCTTAAACTGCCATCATTTTCAAGGCTCACATGTGTTAGATATCATTTAGAAACATCCTGGGATTCTTGTAACGGGAACTATTAGATCTTAACTTCAAGAAACCATAATGGCAGGGACCAAAGACTCAGAGGTGCTCCTTCTACTGGCTCAAATACCTCTCAGAGAAGGCATAACAGAGCACCATAAAACCCTACTAGGTAGATCAAATAGCAATGGTGTAGCTTTTAGAATTAAGCAGACGTACAAAGGAATAGGCAAGATGGCTCCTAGAACATGATGAGTAGAAACACTCTCCCTTTTTTATTTTTCTTCTTCAGAGGAGTCGTCATATTTTGAGACTTCATGCATCTGGTGCTGCTGACCAACTTTCACTTCATGCATGAATTCATGCAAGGGGCTGTGCTGCTCAGCAGTCAAAGGACAGCAAAGTCTTTGGGCTTGCTCTGAACCTGAACATCATTTATTACAGACCATATGTCTGAGTACTTACTGCCAGCAAATAAGCACTGACCTTGAGCTGTATTTCTTTAAGATGGATTCCAAAATGTTTACCAGTTCCTCAGAGTTAATGAACTTTTGGGTGCTGAGCGTGTACATTTTTTCATAGAAGTCAGCAATTTCCATCCGAGCCTGAACAAAAAAACAGAGCTGTTCAGACAGGTGAGAAAGCAGCTCTTCCAAGTGAGGAGCTGTTCCTCCTAGTGCATTGCGACCCGTCGCCACCACCTTCTTCAGCTCATTATGCAGAGATGTGTAGATGGTTCGGATGGAGTCCTTTCGGCTGAAGAATGACTGACCACCTGTTCAGATAAATATGGAGGTATTACCAAAATCCAGGGACAGCAAAGATAGACAGCAATACTGGAAAATTGTGTATAACCACGCTTGTTTTCCCCTAGGTGTTCCTAACTGTTGTTTGATCACAGTATTATTTATTTTTTTTAAATCAAGAAACAAATTTCAGTGTATTATTTTGCAAGTAACTGAATTACACATAGCATATACTCAGAAGCACTTTATGCAATTTCATGCAAGTTACACATGTCCCAATTCATATCTCAGCAGTCAATGACTGCTGCAAAACTTCAACTCCCTCACATCTGCCTCAGTTATGGCATGACTTTTCAGAAAGCAAGGGTTCAGTTAAATTTGCTACTATGATACATGACCTGGAAATACTGTCGTTATCTGTGGAAGTCAGAAGAATCAAGTCATCATGAAATTTTAATAGCCTCCACTCCTATTAGCAACTCTTGATCTCTTCAAGAGAATTCCCCTAACAATACCACTTCAACCATGAAGCACTCAAGTTTGTAAAGCAACCTTTAAATGGCAACTATGTGACATCTGTGTGTACAAACCAAATGTTTCCAGTCCCTACGCAGTCTTAATACAAACCAGAATTCAAAAGAAAAACAATCACAGTGTATCTCAGTGAGACCACAGTGCAGGTTAATCTGTAACTAAAACTGAGGGGGGGCGGGGGGGAAGTCTGTGCTTCTCTCTACCTGTTCAACCCTATGAGGAATTTAAAAAAAAAAAAAAAAAAAAAAAAAGACAAAAGTAGAGGGTCAAAGTAAAAGATATTTAACTTTGACGCTACCACAAGACTGTACAATGGTACTAACCTTATTTCATAATTTCTATTTACAGATGGCCTTATGTGCTGCTGCGGCACTCAACGGCTGCAGCAGAGCAAGGATCACAGGGAATGAATCTGCAGAACTTTTAAAGGGATTCCAAATTTAGGTTCCACTTTGAAACGGCTTATGAACTTTGTAATGGTGGATAGTCCTTTTCACATCCATTTTATACATATAATTTTCAAAAGTGACCTTAGCAATTTGAGGCAGAAAGGCAGAGAATTGGTTATCATGGTGAAACAGCAACCTTCCTAAGCCAAGAGTTGCCCCCAGGTCGTCGGGAGGATGAAGAATCATCTACTGCTGTTGTTCGCGACATATCGAAACAAACAAAACTTTTTCCTTTCACCTGTCAATTTTACCCTTTCTGCAAGCACCAAATTCACTTTTTAAAGTCAACCTTATAGAAAGGGTTCTGTCTGTAAAGATCTTCCTTAAAATAGCAGAATTTTCTTGATGCTTTACTGCATTACACATCAGACTCATATCCCTTGATCCATTTTCCATGCCAGTCTGCAGTTCAAAGAGAAAATAAGCAGCTTTGCCCAGAGGGCAACACAATGACGGCTCATCCTGTGCCAGTTTGGGATTTTTCTATTCACATACTGAGAGAGTGAGAAGCAGCCAAGATCGTGGCCAAAACTTCCCGAGATCCTGCAGCGTGAATGACGTGAAATGAATAACAACTTTCAGGAAGCTATCTCCAGCCCTGACTACTTGCACATATGCAGCTCTAATATTTGGGCCCGGAACCGTGACATAGAAAAGCTTTAACCCTTCGGTCACCCCACTGAGCTCACCCGTGCAAGCTCATCTCAGCCAGAGCATCCCAGCACAGAAACACCTCTGGCTAAATCCCGGGAACGGCAGGCAGGCAGCCTGCCAGCCGACAAGGAGACGCACCGACTCCCACGGCCGCTGTGCCACCCGCGCTCTCGCTTATTCTTTCGGGGCCGCCCAAACGCCGTAGCCGATTCCCCACCGGGCCCACGGACGCTTGCTGACCCAGCGCTCGCGTTCGGGACGCGCAGGCACGCACCTGGCCGAGGCCAGGCTCCTCGGGCACCGTGCAGCTACCAGCTGACGGAGAACCGCACAGGGCCGCGGCAGCCGCCCCCGTTCCCCGCCGCGCTGCCGACACCCGCGGAGCTCAACCCGGGGCGGGCCGAAAGCGAGAGCGAGGGGCGGCCCGGAGAGGGGCGAGGGGCCCGGGGGACGCGGGGGGGATAGCGGGGAGGGGTCCGGCGGTACCTAGCTTCTGGCCCAGGAAGGTCATGCTGTGGTAGGCCTTCTCGGCGGCGGCCAGGTGCGCCAGCCCGGCCAGCAGGGCCAGCCAGCTGGCCCCCGCGCTCTTGTTGGCCTCCCGCTCCTTCTCCACGTTGTCCTTGGCCTTGTCGTAGGAGAAGATGCCCAGGTGGGAGAAGAAGGTCTCCAGCACGGCCTGCTCCACCGGCACCGGCGCGCCCAGCGGGATCGACTCCCCCATCCCGCCGCCGCCGCCGCCGCC